TAAACAATTTTAATAACTTATCACCTTCTCTTAAAATACAGCAAATGATCTCTTCTTCCCATATCCCATCTCTTATCTATAAACAAATCCATAAAGCCTCGTCATGTCAATCCTGATGTCAGCAAAAGTCCATTAAAGGGTTACCAGAGATAACAACATACCTCTCTTAATCTTGATCAAATAAACCAAATTTATATTCCTTCCTTTTACTTCTAACAATCTTTAGTTCCTTCAAATAATGTTGCAGAACTTGATTTCTTTTCATTTTTTCATTGTCCCTTTCTCACAAAATTCTTCAAAACTTTAACAAGCCTCTTTTGTAACTCCAATATAGGAAAATTATCCAGGTCACTCTCTTGGTTTGTTATTTGTATATTGTTTAAAAATAGGAAGCAAAAACCAGGTTCTGAAATCTTTTTTTCCAATGGGCCATAATCTAGTCAAGTTCTTTATTAAGGAAGGTGGGTAATTCAGGATGAAAACTTCACACTTACACTTTATTACATATATAAATATATAAACATGATTAAATATATAGGATATAAAGAAATATTGAGGATTCAAACAAAGAAACCAATAACAAACTAATAAATATTATTAATAACAACAAATAAAATGGATCACAAGTTGTATAGAAGTACAACACACTGGGTACTTTTTCTGAAAAGAACACATTTATACTGAAACACTGATACTTTTCAGATATTAGATATCACTATTTCAACATGGTACAAAGCAGTGACTTAGGATGAAGCAGCCTTCTTCAGAGTACAGTATACCGCATGAAAACTTAATAAGGTGCACTTGGAGCACATGACATCCTTTTATGTTACTAAAAGAAAAGAGTTCATAGTGGGTCTCACAAATTTCTGTGTATATCATCCATGCAGGAGGGTGGGATTTGGGGAGAGGTTGAGATGGTGGGTAAGGACAGGCAATAACATCAGAGTGGTAATGGGCAGAGGACAATATGACAGGAATCTGAGGGTAGGCCAGCCATGAGGAAGATCATGTTTACAGATGAGACTGATCCTGATTTCTGGCCCTCAACATTCATCCTTGGTAGTATGCCACAGGATCCTCAGCAGTCCTGGTCTCTGGCTGTTGCTGCTAAATATCAGGTTGGTGTTTAATAAGAACACCCTCATCCACAATTTGACTGTGGATGAGGCAGGCAATGTGGTATGTATACTTAAGACTTGGATGGGTCCAGGGGAGGTGTCCCCCTCTCTGGGATATGTCCACTAGCCATGACCCTAGGATGGGGGAATGGTATAATGGTATGTGGGAATGACCTTGGGAGACGGGGGGAAGAGATGCTGCCCAGGAAACGATTAGATAAGAGGGGGCACAGCCAGCAGCTGCATAATGGAAAGAGAAAGAAACTCAGAAAGGAACCTCCCTAACTTATCAGGCTGTAAAAGAGATGGCGGGAGATTTGTACTTTCAGACTCGACTTGCAACTCTGCTGGCTTCCAACAAGCAGTCAGTGGGGAAGCCAGCAGGAAATTGCAAGTCCCAGTCACAACAAGCCTTTCCTTAGGCAGCTTGCAAGCAGGCTGATGGGCAGGTGAGTGCTACAGAGTGCAGGTGGGCGAGGGGGTGGGTGCTGCAGCATGGCGCAAATGCAGCCAGGTAGGGGGGAGCGCTACAGAGTGTAGGCAGGCATGCAGGTGGGTATTGCAGTATGGCACAAGCAGGCAGGGGGTGGGTGCTGTGGTGTGGTGCTGGCGGGGGGGTGCTGTGGTCTGGCATGAACATGGCCAAGCAGGAGGGTGCTACAGCCTGGCACAAGTGTGGCCGGACGTGCTGTGGGCCAGTATGTGCTACAGAGTATGAGATCTCCAGGATCTCGTACTCCATAGCAGGGTTCTTTGGGAGAAAAAGTGACAGGAGCGGGAGCAACTTATGGGAGTGACCTGCGACCTTCCTTGCTGGCTTCCCCATTGGCTTTGCTTGTGGGAAGCCAGCAGGGAAGATCGCAAATAGTGATCATTTGGCCACAGGACCTGCAACCTTCATAAGTGCGAGCTGGTTGCCATGTGCCTGAATCGCAATCATGTGACCACAGAGATGTTGCAACAGCCAGAACTTGGAGGACTGGTCATAAGTACCATTCATTCAGCACTATCATAACTTTGAATGGTCACTGAATGGTCATAAGTTGAGCAGTACCTGTATTGCATTTGCAGATAGCTGGCCAGTGGCCCTCTTGCACATGACCCATTCCCTGATAGGGAAAGATGGGTTACAAGAACATCTATAGGCCTACTGTGAAGAATGATCTTAGCATCTGATGGATAAAACTACTCCAATCTACAGGGGTTGGACTCTGACTGGGAAGGTCCAGATAAAGTGACTGAAGCACAGCTTTGGTTGGTTATCTGGGAAATGTTTGATCCTGTAACTCCTGAGGAAGTGGATGGAATCCTTGGGTCTGCTAACCTGGCCATCTGTTTATTAGAGCCATATCCCTCCTGGTTGGTGAAGGTCTCCCAGAATGTAACATATGATGGGTCCATGCAGTGGTGACTTCCTCCCTGAAGGACAAGATAGTTCTGCTTGCCTTGAAGGAGACAGTGGTGTGACCTTTTCTCAATAAACCATTGCTCAACCCAACAGTCCTGGACAACTTTCATCCAGTCTCCAACTGTAATGGAATGTGGAAATGACCTTGGAAGATGGCGGAAGAGATGTTGCCTTGGGAGTGGTCATATAAAAGGGGGAGAAGCCTGCAACTGAGTAACAGGCTGAGAAAGAAACTCAGAAAGGATCCACCCTAACTGATCAGGTGGTAAAAAGGGATGGTGGGAGACTTCTACTTTCAGACTTGCAAGATTCTATTAACGTAGTCTTACAATAAAGTGGAATTAGTTCATCTTGTCGTGTTTCCTATCTGGTTTACCTGGGAGGGCTGACATCCTTTTATCTGATTGTTCCCTAGGCAGCATCTCTTCCCCCATCTTCCAAGGTCATTCTCACATTCCATTTACACCAACCTCTACTTTCTAGGGAAGATTATTGAGAAGGTGGTGAGGTTGCAGCTTCAAAGGGTCCTGGACGAAATAGATTATCAGGAACCTATTCAGTCAAGTTTCAAGCTGGCCTCATAGCACTGAGATGGCATTGATCATACTTCTTGACAATTTCTGATTTGGCCAGGATGGGTGGTGGATCTCTTGATCTCTCAAAGGCCTTTGATACCATTGACTGTAGCATCCTTCAAGACTGGGGATTGGGAATGGGCAGGGGGCATGTAATGGCATTACAGTGGTTCATCTCCTTTATCTGTGACCAGTTCTAGTCAATGTTGACAGTGAGGAGAGATCCAAGGGCCCTGACTTGTGTGGTACCATAGGGCTTGATACTCCCACTTATTCTGTTTAACATCTACATGAAGCTGCTGGGTGAGGTCATACATCAGGACATACTGATACTCAGTTGTATATCTCAACTCCTAGCCAACCTTGATGAGATCAAGGTGAGGTGCAATTTATCACCTACAAAGCCTTCCATAGCCTAGTTATTTGAAGGGCTGTCTCTCTTCCATTGTTTCTGCAAAATTGGATAATGTTGACATGTTCTGGATCCCATCCATTAAACAATGTCATTCTAACAGAACCCAGGAAGCATGGCTTTTCTATCACACCATTTCCCCCAGGGATTTGAATGGTCCCAACTCTGCTCTCTTTGAAAACCTGGCTCTTTCCCCAGGTTTTGGGTTAGGGCTAGGGCACAATGTAGGTTCCTTTTGTGAGGGGTTCTTATATATCTGTTCCATCAGATTGACCATCTTCCTTTTCTGTTGTCTGATATTGTTTTATTTCTTTGATTATCAATTGGTATACTATCCAGAGTCAATGTGAAGTTTGATAGCTTTAGAAATATGAGAAATAAATAAAGAAATATTTATTTATTATATAAATAACCAAACCCAGAAGGACTTCAGTAGCACATCATCCATCTGAATTCAGCTCCTGCTTCTCAAGGAGGAAAAAAAATCTTCGAAGCCATGCTAAGTTCCATAAATAACCACTACTATAGACAACTACATTACTGGGTGTGGAAAACCAACTCATACTGGCCCAAATCTTTCTGAAATGTTCCACTTCTCTATTAGTATAGCTGCTTGATCAATAGTATGATGAGGCTCTCAATGGTATACATAGATTCTTTTGGAACTTCAGAAGAGGCAAAGCAATTCACATGGGCCACACTGTTGCCTTACTATGCCTAACAAATAATGCAAGAGTATTATATCCTTTAAGTTCATGGAAAATTGAAAGAATCTG